TAAAAAACACCCCCCCAAAATCGGGGGTCGTCTTGTACGCCGGATGCCCCGCCGCCGGAGCCCCTCCGCGGCTTTGAAAGCCTCGGGGGAAGCTGGCGGGAGGGGGGGGGGACATCCCAGGTGCGCCTGGGCTGCCCCGCCGCCGGCTTCCCCCGAGGTTTTGCAAAGCCGCAAAGCTGTATACCCGGCGTATAAGACGACCCCCGATTTTTGGGGGATGTTTTTTAACATCAAAAGTTGTCTTATATGCCGGAAAATACGGTACAGTCCCCCTCATTCGTGCAGACTTTTCACACTGGAACAAGGTGAGAAAACATTTTTAAAATTAGGACGTGACTAAAAAAATTGATATATGAACTCAAAGACATTGGCAGTACCTGAAATTACTCCCCTTTTTAAACTGAGAATTTCAAGTTGATCACATCCCTTTCATAGAAACAAATTAAAAAGATGAAAAGCAACCACCCATACCCTTCCTCCAGCAGTTCACTCAAATCTAAAACTGGAAGAGTCTATGGTTTGGCTCAGCATGCAAGGAGAAATAGATAACCGCTTTCTATATGAGTGCACTATCATGGCATATGGGGTTTTAAGGAGTGATTGCAGCACAAGTAAACTACTACTTAGCATTTAACGCTATATCTCCAAGAGCTGTAGAATTACCACTTGTCTAAAGATGCCTAGAGGCGCCACCTGAGATCAGGACACCCTGGTGTAACACATTGTATGAATTCACTATATCAGACAGATAAGATAAATGGTGGAAAGGGAACTTGACATGAAGTGACCTGCCAATAGTCACAGTCAGTGGCAGGTCAGTGGCAGAACTCTACAGAGAAGCCAGGTTGCCTGATTGCCAGTCCAGTACCATAGCAGACTACCCTATTTGCATTTCACAGTTGGGGAAGCTGCAGAACCAAGATTTTATGATTTAACAAAGGTTATAGAGTGATTCAGTGATAAGTGGTGGGAGTAGAAACTCATTTAACTGTCTTGTAGTTTTTCCTGTATTTCCTTTCACAGTATTGTTTATTCTTAGCTTGTTGTGCCCAACTTTCTCTTGCCAGGTTCTTTCATTGTGATCCCAGGCAATATATTTTGATATTCAATATGAATCAGGAGGTAACCAATCAGAAAGGATAATGTTTCTATTTCAGATACAGTATGTTGGTAAATCACCAGTAACAATGGGAAGGGAAGCAGAGAACAAGAACTGGCAAATCAAAGTGGTCTAATGATTTGTTTCCACCTTCTGTTAATTCTCTGGATAATGATCCACTTTCTCCTGCTCGGTGTTCACTGTTTAGACTAATTTGAAATGGGAATTGCACACTTTGATAAACAGTCACCCTGTTTAACTGTCAATTCTCCTAATTTTGCGTACTCAGCTAAAAATATTGTTGTGTAGCCACTGACAGGAAAACTTCTAAATGACTTGATATACAATGCTACTTCTATACAGTATATACCAATTAGGTTGACCTACTGCTCTTTTTTCAGTGGTGGAAGCACAACTGGATGTACTAAGAATCTGTGTTACACTGTATCAGAACACTTGCTTACTCTACAACAGAGGTGGGGAACCTAGAGCCCGCGGGTGGGATCCACTCTCCTCCTTCATTTGATTCAGCCCATGGCAAGTCTCTGTGCTGGGGGCTGGAAGCCCCAAGTCTCTGTGTCCCACTCTGGGGCTGAAGAGCAAGTGCCAGCTTGCCACATGGTGGGAGGAAGCCCTGAGCCTTGGCACCCCGGCACTCCCACTGTGGGGCTGGAGAACCAGCAGAGCTCCGGCGACCTTAGCTGAGTGCAAGTGTGGGTTTTTTCTTTTGTTTTGCTTCTCACTTGTGTGTGGCCCTTGACTGATTTTTATGTGGATCAATAGCCCCTGACTAAAAGAAGGTTCCCTACCTCTGCTCTATAAGGTAGTAGTAATTCTTAGTAAAAAATATGCCTGGTAAATATTCACAATGTTACGGGAATTTGGAATAATGTATCTTGCTTTAGTGTGATATACCTCTGGATCCTCAATATTTATACCATAATAAAGAGGATAAATCAGAAAATCTGCAGCATTATTAAGAGAAACGTTAGCTATAACTCTTAGAAATGTAACAATGGAAGGAACTTTATGTTGCTCTGGTGTACATTCTTACCTGACTGGAAGACGCAACTGTGACAATTGTCTGTTTCAAACTATAGTACAGGTTGGAGCTACCTGGTCTGGCACTCTTGGAACCCGACTGGTCCTGGATGAGGGATTTTGCTAGACCAGGGAAAGTTATATCTGGACCCCCAGCCCTGGACCAGCCACTGGCCTCCTGGATGCTTCCCTCCTCTCCCCTCCCCACTAAGCCAGGCAAGCCCAGCTCCCTGTGCACTGGGCTCCTGGATGCGCTGGGCAGCCCCACTATGGCGCGCTGGGCTCTTGGCCCCATCGAGCACCCCCACTGGGTTGTATCTAGCAGCTCAGCTGTGGTACACCAGGCAACCTAGCTGCAGGGAGCCCAGCTAACAGCCTTCCAACGGGACTCTCTAGTTCTAAAACATCTGGATGTTGCCAGATGAGGAAGTCCTGGTTAACAGGTTCATTCAACCTGTACTATTAAAAAAAAAAAATCCCTCCCAACCCTCCCCCAAATAAAACCAGAAAACAAACAAAACAAAAAACAAACTTATTTTAAATGTGAGTGAAGTTGTCATGGGATATAGGGTTTTAAGAAACTATTGCAGCATACTACATAGTATTTAACACTGTTAAAAGGAGAAGTCATTTTTAAGAACACACAAATATAACAGAGGTCCTAGAAGAAATTCCGAAACTCAGCAGAATCACAAAAAGATGAAGTTAGGTGCAGACACTGGAGGCTGGGGCAGGAGGAGTTCAAAACACATTTTCCATGGGAGAAGGCCAAAGCCACTGAACCAGGAAGAATTTCTATTTCTCAGTTAACCAAGCAGAGTAGTTATCAGAGAACCATCAACTGAATGATTAATGTATATTGTGGGTATCAGTCTCACATTCAAACTTTACTACTGAGAAAATAGTCTCAGAGGGGTAGCCGTGTTAGTCTGTAACTTAAAACAAAAAAAAATTAAAAAACAATGAGTGGTTCTGTAGCACCTTAGAGATATATATTTGATTAGACTGTAAGATACTAGAGGACCACTTGCTTTTTAAGGTTTATTTACTAAGAAAATAGTCAATTGAAGATGTTAAGTACTATATGCACTATGTTATTAAACTTCAAAGAACACTGAATTCAACAGAAGAGGACGGAAAAAGGAGCACCCAACACACTAACTGAAGATGGAACCACAAATCTTTTTTTTTCATGTTGTAAAATAGGCCTTTCCAATGTATTAAGCATCTCTTAAAACACCAGCAAATCATTTTGACTGAAGCCCGTGTCTTACTTTTGTTAATATTTAACAAGTTCTATAGCACAAACAACAGTAAAACGTGAGTAAATCTAGAATTCCCAGGACTCCCAGATGATTTGGTGAATCTTGCATTTACATGGAACACGTCATACCTGTATGTTTCTTTCTGCATGCACCCAATGCTGCAATCACAGTAATCCAAAGCCTTGCATATAGACTGAATTACTATTAATTTATCTAAAACAATAAATCCCCTAGTTGGGGCTAGGGATGTAAGTGAGTAGTCGACTATCCGAGAAGCAAAAGCTTATGGATAGTCGACTAGTGGCTTCCCCCCTTTGCTGCGGCAGAGGTAGCAGGAGCCCGTGCTGGGGGAGCCGGCTTAAAAGCCCGCCAGCTCTTAGTACATTTAAAAGGCTAAAGAGCAGCAGGTGGGAACTAGTGAGAGCCGGGAATCAGCTGGCCCAGCTAGTGCTGGGTCCCCCTGCTGTGCACCAGCCTATTTAATAAATGTATTAAGAGCTGACAGGAGCTAATCCTGCAGCAGCTCCCCTGCTTATCAACTACAGGCAGTCCCCGGGTTACGTACAAGATAGGGACTGTAGGTTTGTTCTTAAGTTGAATTTGTACGTAAGTCGGAACTGGCGTCCAGATTCAGCCGCTGCTGAAACTGACCAGCGGCTGACTACAGGAAGCCCGAGGCAGAGTTTCTCTG